TCCGCTATCAATTGGTTGTCATCATCAAAAAGGGGGAGATTGTTGAATCTCATATTTTGATGATGAAATCAATTGATGTGTTTGTGATCTAATGAGAGTTTTGAGTAACACAAGGCTAACGTCGATCAAAAAAGGCAAATTGATTAAAGCAGGAGGAATCAGATGTTGGCCGGAGCAAACATGTCAGAAGATTTGACGTCGGGCCGGAGGAACGGTCGACATATCGGTAGAAGGCTTCGGGCCATAAATTCGGGCATTGGGCCAAGAAGATCGGACATTGCGCTAAGAAGATCGGATGCTGTGAGAAGACAACATGTCGATTGGGCAATACACCGAAGGAGAGGACGATACGTTGAAGGATCGGATGAAGCGTAGGATGAACCAATTACATGTCGAACAACAAGGATTCGCTTGTAATCAATTATGTCTAGATCGAGTTAGTTTATAGACTAATTAAATCAGTTTAGAATATAATTAAACTAACTCAATTAGGGGCCAATTGGGCCCAAGTTTGGGTTGTGTTGGGCCAAGTGGAAGGCCCAAACATTGACCCAATAGGGGCACCGTTGTGGCATAGTCTCCAAGACTATGTCAGGCGGTGGTATCGCCCAAACATAGTCTCCGAGAGACTATCAGGCGGTGGTATCACCCAATGGTAGGGTGTCAGGCGGAAGAACTGCCCAGTGTTAGTGCTGCAGGCGATGGTACTGCCCAGTGTCAGTGCTACATGCGGTGGTACCGCCAGGACCCAAAAAACCGAGGATGAGACATTTTTAGGCTCTAAGTTTGAATCAACTTGAGGCCTATAAATACTCCTCTCATTTCTGGTTAAACTATACACAACTAAGAGCAAAAAGGAAAGAAAACTTTGTCTTAATTGTGTATGAACTTCTCTCAAAGCTCCAAGTGTTAGTGTAATTTGAGAGAGGAATAAGGGGGGTTGTAAAGGTTCTCTCCTGAACCTGTCAAAAGAAGAATCAAGTTATAAGGGTGGTTGCTCTTTACCCATTGAAAGAAGATTGAAAGTAGATGCTGGTGACCTCGACGGAAGAGGAATCGGTAGAGTGGATGTAGGTCATGACGACCGAACCACTATAATTTGATTTACATTTTTGTTTTGAGCAATTTACTTTAAACTGCAAACTGTCTTACTTGCTTTGCATCCACTACACTCTTTCGTATGCTTTCAAGTTAACATCCTCCGAAACGGTTTTAATCACAATAAATTTAATTAAACATAAATTCAAAATAACAAGTATAAACTTTTTATATATAAATTCAAAACATAACAAGTCTAGATCCTTTTTTATACATATATTCAAAACATAACAAGTATATCTAACATGAAAAAAAGACACCACTAAAAGCTGGTTGATAAATTTATTGTAATTCTAAATAGAAACGGTATTTATCGTTGCATTATTTAATCCAGTCAAAAAAATATTAAAAATTAAATAATATTCTTCTAAAATTGTATTTATCATTCTATAAATATTATCAACCATATATTGTTCATTGAAAACTTTAAAATTAATAATTCATTTTTGTATGGTCAAATCACTATACATCGAATGACAAGTGATTGTTATATAGTACTGTATTTGCTAGTAATAACTTTAAATATCAATACAAATAAAAATAAGTGTCCAAAAATTTATAAATCTCTTTTTATTTTTTAAAATTATGTAAAGTGCAAGTAAGAGTAGTACGAGGAACTCATTATGCAACGGAATTTAAGGCCTCGTAACACTAGTAAACAAATCCCACTTTTTCACCGAAAGTATAAGATAAATAATGGCTAATGGTTCATGATTTTTTTCGATAGAAAAATAAAAATCGGAAGAAGTAGGGTACCCAAAAATTTATGTTTGACTCATCTTCACACCAACTTTGTGTTAAATGTTTATTCTCAATATGCTTTTAGAATATTTCATATCCTCTCCCTTCTTTAAATTTAAATTTTTGACCGCATTAACTACTTATGATATAGAAGGAGTCATCAGTGTTTCTAATTTTTTTGATGTCCAACTTGAGTTTGATTATTGTATTGATATTCCCTTGCTTGACATCAACATTGATTTGTTGGTTTTCTTAAGTTACCACAATCACATTTTCGAAAGCCTCCTCCGTGGTGAAGTGGTGGCTTCCACTTATCATCGGATAAAGAAGAGAGCTTAAGAGTATTCAAACTTCATTAAGTGCTTAATCAAAGGTGCAGAGATGAATGAAAGATTTAAGGGGTATTTATAGGATTTTTGAATTTTTTTTTTCCTAAAACATGCCCAAAATTAGCTATTATTTAGCTATTAGGAGCAAATCTATCTTTAATTAAAAATTATATATTAATTATAAAATAATCAAAATACCCTTAAATTTAGTCATTTATATGACATTTAAGAAGCAAACTAGTGGTTTGCCCCTCTATGGATCATTTGAGCCCAACAATTGATCAACAGCCTATTTGACCACGGTCTATTTTTTTTTTATAAAAAATTATCAAACCGACTATTCGAACCAGAATCGAATTGCTCAATACTAGTTTCGATTCGATTTGGAACCAATGAATCGTTGGGTCGATTTAGTTTTGATCCTGGCTTTATCCGGTTCCGATTCGAACTGAATCATGATCAAAACCTTCTAACTAGATATGAAACTTTGGTACATATATCATCCTAAATGATGAAAGGAAAGATACAGTGGAAGTGCATCCACAGATGATAATGCCACAGCTATTTGCTTAAGGAAATGATCCATTAGATGACCCAAACACTCTTTTTCCTGAAATTAGAAATTCCCTTCTTCAACTCAAAAATTAGCTTGGAAGATTGATCCAAACCTAAAACCTCAGAGTCAGCTGAACCAATCTTATTCTCACATGGGTGGATTGGAGTCCCATAATATGTCCATCTTTAAATGGAATGGTCATAGCAATGTTTTCTGAAACAATGTTGTCATGTCTTTAAAATCTTATTAGAGTTGGAAAGGTCTAATTATGGTGATCTAAAAACATATAATAGAGGAAATTTGTGGAGTTATGATATTGGTTTGTTGATCATTAACTGTCAATTTAAGCTCTTGTTTAGTCTCATGTTGCTGAAGCCAGCTGTGGTCTGTGGTGAGGGTTAAGGACAACAAAATATACATCCTCCAAATCCAATCATAAGTTCATGAAAGTTTTTCTGTCCAAGATTTCTATTAGAACATAAAGCTAAAAAAACATTAGTGTTTTATGAGATGAGATTAGTGAAGAAGAAGAGTAGAAAAGAATGCATTAAGCACTCATAAAATCCAAACCCTGAAACAAGTTTATAACAGAGGGAAAAATAATAATAATAATAATAATAAAGTAAAGAAGAAAGAGAAGTATTTAAAAGTAGAAAGAAAAGCACAATGGACGCCCGAGTCGATCGCCAACTGTTGGCCATACTCCCAAGTCCTCAAAGCCGTCATTCCCCTATAAGATTTGCTTCCATCTTTAGGTTAAACTACACAAGCCACAAGACCAGTGGGTTTGAATATAAAGCTTAGACCAACAGTTGCAGGTGAAAGGGAATAGTGTGTCAATTCATTCCATCTCTATTGAATCAAAAGATAGATAGTTTCCTTTCATGATGAGAACCAAACGTCCATAATATCACAAACCCCTTCTTTTCTCTATCCCCCATCCCTCAATCTGAAGACCAGTCCAAAAAATGGTATGCATGCACTACGCTCTCTCTCTCTCTCTCTCTCATTTAATTGTGTGCATGGAGAGCTTCTTCATGTGGTGTGGTTGGGTGCATGCAGTCTTTGACACCGTTTCTTGTGGAGTCTCTGGTGAGGCTGTTGAGGTTGTTCGTTAGCTGGCCGGCGGCGTCGGTGACGACGATACTCTATTACGGCGAGGCGCTGCCGAGGAATCCGAGGTTGCAGCGGCTCGTCCGCGACGAATTGCTCGACGACGAGAACTTCCTGCTCCATTTTTTGATCGCCATGTTTAGATGCTTCTGGTACTACTCGTCGATCTCTTCTTTCCATTTCCTCTTTACCATCTCTTGCAGGCATTAAATCTTTGTAGTTCTTCTCCTGGATGGAATTCCATGTTGAAGTAAAAGCAGGAAGAAGTAGTTAGTGCTCTCTCTCTCTCTCTCTCTCTCGCTCGCGGATTGCTTTAGAAGATTAAATAGTGATGGATTAAAAGGACAGATTTTAAAGCAATGATGGATGACAAGCATTAGAACTTTGTAGTTCTCCCTGATGGAATCCCATATTGAAGAAAAAGCAGCAAGAAGTAATCCTCTCTCTCTCTCTCTCTCTCTCTCTCTCTCTCTCGGGTTCCTTTAGAAGATTAAACAGTAATGGATTACAAGGACAGAATTTAATGGAATGACGGAGCTTGGATACCTAGGAACAACTGAAAACATCATGTGCTTAATGAGTAGATGTCACACTTTCTTACTACATCCGATAATATGATTTCTTTTCTGCCTTTGTTATTCTTTTTCTTTTTTTGCAAGAAAGAAAATTTGGATGTAGGCAGGGCAATGTAGCTATCATTCCTGTTATCATTGCAGTAGGCAAGGCAAGATTCAATGATAGTCACCAAATGCACAATCTTTTGTAGATTAAAATTTCAGCTATCATTTGCCTTACAATAACTAACAAAGATTAACCACAATAGCATACATGTAGGTTCTTAGATTTTGGATGAATACATCTATTAAATTTAAAAGGGTATAAACTGAAAATTTATTGACTTGAAGTGATACATAATAAGTAATTTTGCCACTTGCTCCCTATTACAACTCTTCCTGCGTAGAGACAGCTGCTTTGGAAGTACTAGTTGCAAACTTAGATCAACATCAGAGGTAGATACTGAGCATTTGCAGGAGCCCAATATCTAACATATCTTAATTGGCCATAATCTAACCATCGCAAGATAGTTAAGACTTGTTCACTAACAGTAAAATGGCCCACATGCTCTGAGTTCATCAACCATTCAAACCAGTAGAGAAACAAAATACAACAACGACGCACTTCAATTGCATTCTTTTGCTCACTCACTGAGAAAGACCATGCAGCACCAAAGTTTCATAGAATACATTGATTGCCTGAGCTATACATTTTGATTTCTATTCTTGGTACTAATGACTTTGATGTAACATGAAATAACTATTTGTTGATTAACTAGGACAACTTCTTCTAATTCCTCTTTCTATTGATCTTTGATGACTTTTTGGTTTTAGCTGAAGTTGACTGCGGCAAAGGAACGGGCAGCAATGTACCCCCTTGGATATTGTCTGTGTCAACAGCATTAAGTGTCTTTTGGGCCTCAATGAAAACCATAAAATCTCTTATCTGCAGAGTTATTTGAATTATCAAAAACAAGATTTTTTATGTACGTAAATATGCTGGCCAATTTCATCTGTAAATAAAAGGGAAAGGAAGAAATACCTCGTCTTCCAGATCACGGATCTTGTCATCCTTTATCTTTAGTGTTGTTCTCTCCCTGAGAGAGAAGCATTAATTACTGCAAATTAATTTATGAAAATACAACATAAAGTTCATTAAGAAAACTACAACTGAAATTCTGTGATGTCCACACACAAAATGAAGAAGGTAACCAAGAATAAGCTCTGAGATGGTTGAAATATTTTATATGAATAGATTGTTGCATCAATGCTCTATAAATACTGCACTAAATAATGTAATATTCATCTTTTCAAACATATTTCTGGTTTCCCAGCTTCTCAAGATGATGCTAATCATCACAAATAAGATCAATGGAGTTGAAGTAAGCAGTACATAGGACATACAATCTACATGCCTCCCATGAGATAGATACTTCACTATTGTAAAGCTAAGACTCCTTGATACTAATGTGATATAAATGCTGCAATCAAAGAGAATCTATATAAAAAAAAAACACTCAGCTAACACATATGGCTCTCTTTAGAACAGGTCATCCTGCTTTTGGGGTCAAATTAATATATTACAACAATAACAAGTCATAATACCCAACCATTTGGGGTATCTTTTTTCCTCGATTAAGTTCTGTAGAAGGTAATACCATAGCTAAATCAATATCCTAGTCAAATTACTAAATTTTAAAAAGCAATACTTAAATATCAATTTTGATGATTTCAAAAGCATATGAAAATGTGTAGGGAGAAAAAAAAAGGATTTGCATATGGTTTTTATTGACTTAAAAAAAACCTATCATAGGATTCCTAAATATTAATTATGATGAGTTTTAAATATATATATATGATAATGTATGAACTTACTAGTTACATGATAAACTTCCCTGGTGTATATTATTTGCTGATGATATTGTCTTAATTGATGAGAGAGTAAGTGAAATTAATTATAAACTTGAATTATGGAGACAATCCTTATAAACTAAAGGTTTCAGATTAAGTATGGCTAAAACTTTATATATGAGATATAATTTTAATAATTCTAGAAATAGACATGAGAATATAGTTAAGTTAGATGGACAAGAAGTTCCTTTAAGTAAAATCTTTAAATATATTGGATCAATTATTCAAAAAGATAGAGAGATCAATAAAGATATTATTCATACAATAAAAACAGAATGGTTAAAATGACAAGAACCATCAGAAGTCTTGTATGATTATCGAATACCTTTGAGATTAAATAAATATTTTATAAAACCATTGTGAAACCAATAATAATTTATGGATCTGAGTGTTGGATAAGAAACAACATATATAAAAAGTTAGTATTACCAAAATGCGAATGTTGAGATAGATATGTGAAGTTACTAGGAAAGATAGGAAAAAAAATGTTATTATTCGTGAATAACTTGGTATCACTTAAATAGAGGATAAGATAAGATAAAATCATTTAAGATAAGATGGACATGTGTTATGAGACCTCCAATGCAATAATCAAAAGAATATAAATAATTAATGTTAATGATACGATGAGAGATAGAAGAAGATATAAAAGACTTTAATGAAAATTATAAATAAATATTTAAATACTTTGAACTTAACTAAACATATGGCTTACTACAGATCTCAATTGTGACAAAAGATTCATGTACTCGACGCCAAATAATTGGGACTCGTGACTTTATTACTATTGTTGTTGATTTCAAAGCATCATATTAGCAATACCATTTATACCATCTAAGCGTATCGATTTAACAGTTGACATATGAAGACAATCCTTATAAACTAAAAGTTTTAGATTAAGTATGACTAAAACTTTATATATGAGATATAATTTTAATAATTCTAGAAATAGACATGAGAATATAGTTAAGTTAGATGGACAAGAAATTCCTTTAAGTTAAATCTTTAAATATCTTGGATCAATTATTCAAAAAGATAGAGAGATCAATAAAGATATTATTCATACAATAAAAACAGGATGGTTAAAATGACAAGAACCATTAGGAGTCTTGTATGATTATCGAATACCTTTGAGATTAAATAAATATTTTATAAAACCATTGTGAAACCAGTAATAATTTATGGATCTGAGTGTTGGACAATTAAGAAACAACATATATAAAAACTTAGTGTTACCAAAATGCGAATGTTAATATAGGTACGTGGAATTACTAGGAAAGATAGAAAAAAAAATGTTATTATTCGTGAATAACTTGGTATCACTTAAATAGAGTAACATACAATCATTTAAGATAAGATGGACATGTGTTATGAGACCTCCAATGCAATAATCAAAAGAATATAAATAATTAATATTAATGATACGATGAGAGATAGAAGAAGATACAAAAAACTTTAATAGAAATTATAAATAAATATTTAAATACTTTGAACTTAACTAAACATATGACTTACTACATATCTCAATTGTGGCAAAAGATTCATGTACTCGACGCCAAATAATTGAGACTCATGACTTTATTATTATTGTTGTTGTTGATTTCAAAGCATCATATTAGCCATACCATTTATACCATCTAAGCGTATCGATTTAACAGTTGACATATGGAGACAATCCTTATAAACTAAAAGTTTTAGATTAAGTATGACTAAAACTTTATATATGAGATATAATTTTAATAATTCTAGAAATAGACATGAGAATATAATTAAGTTAGATGGACAAGAAGTTCCTTTAAGTAAAATCTTTAAATACATTGGATCAATTATTCAAAAAGATAGAGAGATCAATAAAAATATTACTCATACAGTAAAAACATGATGGTTAAAATGACAAGAACCATCAAGAGTCTTGTATGATTATCGAATACCTTTGAGATTAAATAAATATTTTATAAAACCATCGTGAAACCAGTAATACTTTACGGATCTGTGTTAGACAGTTAAGAAACAACATATATAAAAAGTTAGTTACCGAAACACGAATGTTGAGATAGATATGTGGAGTTACTAGGAAAGATAGGAAAAGAAATATTATTATTCGTGAATAACTTGGTATCACTTAAATAGAGGATAAGATGAGATCAAATTATTTAAGATAAGATGGACATGTGTTATGAGACCTCCAATACAATAATCAAAAGAAGATAAATAATTAATGTTAATGGTACGATGAGAGATAAAAGAAGATATAAAAGACTTTAATAGAAATTATAAATAAATATTTAAATACTTTGAACTTAACTAAACATATGGCTTACTACAGATCTCAATGGTGGCAAAAGATTCATGTAACCGACGCCAAATAATTGGGACTCATGACTTTATTATTATTGTTGTTGTTGATTTCAAAGCATCATATTAGCTACCATTTATACCATCTAAGCATATCGATTTAACAGTTGACAACTTGACATATTAATCAATTTTTTAATGTTTTTACTCATTAGCATACCAAGGCATATTAATCATCAAGTATTCGGTCAATAAGATTCTTGTATGCTACAGGTGTTTAAAACCTCAATCCACATAAATGAAAAGAAGCATACCTTTCTTCAACTTCCTTGATTTTTTCATGCCAAATATTCTGGTTCTTCATAAGATTCTCATTGATCTGAAGGCAGAAGAATCAGAATATTAGAAGGCACAACAAAGTATATTGAATAGAGAAGGGATAGATTAGTGCTCATAAACTTTATGGTTCTTCGTAAGATTCTAGTAAATTTAAAGTCAGAAGAATCAGCAGCACATAAGAAGCAACACCAGAGTATAATGAAAAGAAAAGCAGTGGATTAGTCTTGTAAACAACAAAGGAATATGCTTGGGGAACAAAATTATGATAGAAGTAGCTTACATCAGAAAGTGCTTTCTTCTCCCTCATAACATTTCCAATTTTAAGTTGGATATCTTGCAGCTTCAAACTTACAGCCTTTTCCACAGCATCAGAAATGTACTTCTCCCTATTTTCTTTTTCCTTTTGAAGTAGAGTTTCATAATACTATGAATGAAGCAATAAATACAAATCAACAGGACTTTAGGTTGGTGCTTGGCATGTAAAGTTAACTGTATAATTTAACCAATGTGATTAAAGAGAAAGATGTTTATTGTTTATCATGAAAGAGTTTTACTTGGAAAGATGGAGTACCTGTCTCTGGCTTTCAAGTTGACCTGCAAGTAGATGGTTGTATTCATCCACAATCTGTAGCATATTTACACAAGACAAGTTACATTGATGACTTACTATAAATGGAAAAGTGATATTACTGCATGTCAAAATTTATATAACAATCAAGGCAAAATGTAGAAGTGAATTTTACAAATCCTCACCACATCAACTTTACTGTTCAATATAGCTCCACTACTTCCAAGGTCATCACTGCATTCGCAATTGATGCAGTTTTCACCAACATATCTGCTATTGGACTTTAACTTGGCCAGCTTATCATCACTTCTAGATTGATTTAGTCGATGGACATATCTATCACCAACATAGTCCCAAACCCGTTGTGTTTCCAAATCAAGAGAATAGCAATGTTGAGTATCTTTCCAGTGCCTGATAGCATGACCTTCTTTGTATCTATAATAACAAACATAAATATCAGTTAAACAAAAAGCCTCGTTAAACTACGAACTATTTGACACCTGAAGGCAGAGATACACTGTCCCTTTAAGGGCAATTAGACATACCTTCCGCATCCAACGAAACCACAGATCACACAGATCCAGAGATTTTGTGGTGTCCCACAAATTGAGCATGTCGGTTTTTCAGAATGTTTCTGACAAAATTGGCACACCTGAAATTTTCAAATAAATTTACTGTCTGTTGTCAACCAAAAAACCACAACTTTCTAAGAAAATCATTGTGTCAAGATTAAGAAATTAATAACAAGCCACAATCATTTTTTTGGCAACTTGTCTGTTCCAAGCTTTTACTTTAGAGAAGTTCAGCAACAAAAACAGCAAAATGGTGACCATGGAACACAAACTTTCAGATTCATAGTCCGCTTCTCAAAAGAGAACCCTTTTTCAGTGGAATAAGTAAACAGTTAAGTTGACATCAAGAAAGCTGTTCCCAAACAACAAATAATAAATAATACAAGAAACATTTTAAAACAATATGTTATTATCAACAAGAATCCATATGTAAATCAGTCGTGTGAAAAGCTCTAAATGCTAAAATATATATAAATAGCATAAAGACAATCATTAGAATAAAAATTAAATAATACATGAATCCGACACGCTCGCCCATGTAAGAATTGCCTCTTCAGCGACATTCTACCTCTCCCTGTCATGTTCTATTCAGGCCGTCAAATCTTGTATGCTGACCAGAACCATATAGACTGGTTGTCCAAAGATGCCCTACATATTTGCCATTATTAATGCTCTTTATTGGTTCAACAGTGATGTACTTTTCTTACCAATTATGTATTATGTGATCCTAAAAAACACCCTAATTTAAGTACAAAGAAAGAGGACAGGTGTTCAAACAATTTAAATCAATATAAAAAGAGGAAGGAAGGACTAACAACTAGGCAGAGGCATATCAGTGGTGGAGAGCCAGCGCTGAAGACCTGACAATAGAGAACCAAGGAGACGGAGAGGGCACTGGCGGAGGAGATGGAGAGAGTGACGGAGGAGAGAACTATCAGGCGGGAAAGACAGAGAGGGCAACGGAAGAAACAAAGAGGCCAGTGAAGGACAGTGCTAGGCAGAAGAGGCAAAGAGTGAAGCATCGATGGGGTCGCTTGACTTGGATACACAATCTACTTGATGGGGTCGCTTGATGTGGATACACAATCTACTTGATTGAGTCACTCGGTCAAGCTATGATCGGGCTATGATGGTCAGACGAAGAAAAGTGACAGCCATGAGATCAAGACAAGGGTGTTTGACTGCATTCGCCCTGAGGGATGGCAAGAAGATCATAGATACTTTTACCTTGAGGTGATCAAGTTGAATCAAGACTCGGTTCAGGCTTGGGTCTGGCTAATCATGATCGGTTGGCTCACTACGCCTACATTGGCACTAGGTGGACACAAGCAAAGGCGTCTTTCTTGACATGTTTTGTGGCACTCGAGCTAGTCTCTCCTAGGTGAGCACTCGAGTGCCTATCAATATCAATGATATAAACAATGTTGAGCATGGCCTATTTGATGTTGTGTATAATGAAATAGACTAGAAGCATCTCTTGACAACATAAAATTATCACAAGAATCCTGCAAAAGCCACATTAATAAATGGCACTTTGTACAAATATCTGTAGCACAGGTTTTCATGATATGGCACAAAACCCTCTCAGCGGTAGGCTAGCACAACATATGATGGGGCAGCACATGCTACACCACGCCATTCCCTTGTATGTCACATACACATGCTCATGTATTTAAGCACACTCCTATCACGTCTTGACTCCCTTATGAAGGTTTAAGATGTTGGTCTGACACTGATTTCAGTGGCCTATTGGACTGGTACATCACCATTATATCAAGCAACAAACCAACTAGTACATCCAGTATCATTGAAAAATAACAAAAAAGGAACAATATATGTACCAATACTTTGTACATATAAATACCAATTGGTACATATTGGTTCAACTGGAATTCATAACCTTGTCCACTATGATGAGTTGCTACCATATATAGTATGTCAATGAAAGGACATAAATGTTTGTCATTTTCAAGATTGGTCAGTTAAGAGTGATTGCAGCAAAAATAAGCTGCTCAGTGTCTAACAACACTGTCCACTAAAGACAAAATTAGCAAATATTTTGCTAGGATATATCATGACCTGTAGGCATTTCTTATATGAATAAGTAACTACAATACAATCAGAAAATAGAAGAAAAAGACAACCTAATTGCATTTTGCTGAAAATAAAGGTTGAAAGTCATAGTAATTCATAACTGAGATTTTCATCCGAAAATATAATAATTATAGATTATTTGGTAGCCAGGAAGAACTTACAGAGCAAGAAGAATTAACCCACTTTGAAATGCATGAGCATTGAAATGAGTGATCACAAGTTGTTGCAATAATCCCACTGATGTCTTGGTCCAATCTCTCTAGATCATCAAATAAGCAAAAGAGTAGAAATAGAAACATATAAGTTGGAATGACACAACAACCAAGAGCTAGCCACACTAGGCAGTATCTACCTTAGCATTACAAAAAGGATGTATTACATTAATAAAGAATCAATACAGCTAATGTGGCTGCCAATCTCTATAATAGTTGAGGGGATATTATTACACATTGTAAGGCAAGAATCAGATAAGTGTTAAAAATTCAGTATCAAAGAGGGTTTACATAATAATTACCGTCTCTCAAATAGCAGCCCATCTAGAAATTAATTGTGATCTTACATTGTATTGTAGCTATCTGCCTCTTTGGTTTGATAAGGGCATCTGAATTGATACTGGAATTCCAATGTAAACATATGTAGTGCAAGATGACAATTTGAAACCAATCAAGGAATAACTCATTCTGTTATTTATCTATTCATTATGCCCGAACAACAACAACAAAACTGTAAAATCTCAACTATTTGGATCACATATGTTTATTTAAGTTAAAGAATATTTAAGTTAATTATTTCATCTCTTCTAACAATCACATTTGTAGATCTCTTGAGCACATGCTCATACTTTGTTAAATGATTCTCTTATTTTATCCTTTATCAAGACGGCACCTAACTGTTCATGAATGAAAATATTTTTTTCAATCTCTCCTAAAACTTCATACATCCACCTTAACATTCTCATCTCAACAACACAAACATTTTACATAACTCATTTTATATGTTATTTTCTTAACTATCCAACATTTACGTCCATAAAGCATTATTGGTCTAACAACTATCTTATAATTTTTTACTTTGAATCTCGAACCGATGAACACACAAGACTCCTAATGCCTCTTGTCATTTTAATCATTTTATTTTTTTTCTCTATGAATAACATCTTCATCAATCTCTCCATCTTGTTGAATAATTGATTTAAGATACCTAAGTCTTTACTTAATGAAACTTCTTGTCCATTCAACTTAACTATATCATATATCTATTCCTAGTATTACTAAAATTGCATCTCATATATTCAGTTTTAGTCATACACTCCTACTTAATCTAAATCCTATAATTTTTAAGGATGTCCTCCACAATTAATGCATTATGCTCGAATTGACTTCAAAAATGAAGCAAAGAAGATCTTTTGCTAATTGCTACTAATGATATCACCACTGATGCCAAAAATAATACAAAGTATTTTTGTTCAAGAGAATTAGTACTACTACATTGCTAAAAAGCTCTATTCTATTAAATCTATTATTGTAAAAAAAAGGCCTAATATACTTAAAGGTTTCACCAAAGAATTGCAGAACAAAAAACTAGAAGCTACCGATGTGCAAGATCAACTGTATTAATAGACATTTCAACCATATATTTCTTAATCTTACAAATTTTTGTAAGAAATGAAATTTTATCTTTCTGATCAAGATGATCTCTATGGATAAAAACTGATAAAGCTAGTAGTCACATATGAGAAGATTATAAGAACATAAGATTTATCAATCTTCAGTGGAGTTAGTATTTTGACAAACGCCACCTATGATGCTGCTACACATTACAAGTAACTATTACAACATCTAACAACATATACAGTAGTGAGAAATTAATCAAGAAAGAGACTTTTCAGCAGTCAGGTAATGTTTCTCATCTTATCGGCATACAAGGCCTATCTAGTATAAGCCTCTGGCCATGACCATTCTGAACCTAAGTACTACTGGCGCTACAACAAGGCCTATCAGGTATAAATTTATTTCCATGACACACAGTGATATCGAGCATTACATCCAACCAAGAGCCTTCTATGCATAGTAAGTGAAATCTTGCCTTTTTTAAGTCATCAATTTAATCTTTAACATGCAAGTTAATCTATGAACTGTCTGAAAAATTCCATTACCAACAAAACTTGGAAGTGAACATCCCCTACAATTCTGCTAGGTTTATGAGCTTCTCATCTCTACAATCAAAGCCTCATCAACTTTGAGTTTGATCATCTTTAACTGAGGTGAACAAATACCTCATGAAGGAACAAAGAATGAAGAAAAAGTAGCAGATTTCGTCTTCTTTTACCAAAGACCATCGGATCTCACTAAGGGATGGAGAATGACCAATGCACAAAACTCACACATAAAATAAACAATAGAGAACTGCATGTAGGAGAGACGAGGGAGAGATGTCTTAAAATTTTATCCATCGGGGACAATTTTTCAAATTCAGCAATATCTTGCTTTGTTTGGTTGGGAAATTCTAACACAATGGAATAGCATGGAAGCCTACCAGACCAAAGTTGCTATAAAGATGATTGACTCAATTAGCTACATCATAATTATTTGATCTAAAAAATCCAGCCTACAACCATCCATCAACATCCATTTTCTCAGGTTCTTTTATATCACTTTCTTCAAGAAAGAAGATTGTCTGGTTATTTCATTTTTTATGCTCTTCAATATGCTCTTCAAAATTCTAACACATCTTAATGGCACTTCAATCAAAGTACAAATTCCAACACAATGGAATGGCATGGAAGCCTACCAGACCAAAGTTGCTATAAAGATGATTGACTCAATTAGCTACATCTTAATTATTTGATCTTCAAAATCCAGCCTACAACCATCCATCAACATCCATTTTCTCAGGTTCTTTTATATCACTTTCTTCAAGAAAGAAGATTGTCTGGTTATTTCATTTTTTATGTTCTTCAATATGAATTGCTAATGTTAACTGGTACACATTTTAAATAACTGGCATTGGGCATTCGCCACATGCTATATGATGTGCCTGTTTCAATAACTAGGAACTTGTACAGGCACGTGTCTAGCTGAGGCACAGTATAAGGAGGCACATACCACACCATAGCAACATAATCTGTGGCCTTATAGATGTCCATAATATTTTGCCAGATTAAGGCACCAAAAAAATGATTGAGTGCTACAATTCAAAGCAACAATGCAGAAATTGCACACTTACATACACTTTCTGAGAGAGTGTAATGTGATTGCATTCCTAGAAACTATTCATGAGTTAAAAGAAAACAGTATTATGAACAAAAAGTTGAAAAAACTGAATACCAACATGCTATAATCTCACCAATGCAGACAGGGCATGTAGGCAACTCAGAGGAACCAACTGGGGGAGTTCCTGCAATCTTTGTGGACTCGGTGAACTCCACAGAATCTATAAAGAGAATGTGACAAACTTCTCCCTGCAGTTCCAACAAGATACATAAAGAAGAGGGAACAGGGAACTGGAGAAGTAGCTAAACTTTAGATATCACTTCACCTCCGTGGAGAAACGCCATCCATTAACATCAAGATAGAATCCGTCAGCACTTTTCTGATCATCAAACTCAACCAGCACACTGTATCGATCTTCAATCCCATCATTCCTGCAAGGCCGTGATAAGTAGTCCAAATCCCCTGATTTCTTCGTCGTTTCAATCCAAAGATTTGATTTTTACTGTATACCTGATGACCCGGATGGCGGAGGAACGTTCGACGTAGGAGCCACAAAAGCGAAGGAGATCCTCCGGGGAGAGACGGCTTGGAACTGCTAGAATCAGGAGAAGCGTGCCACGTACAGCCTACGAAAGAGACCGAAGCTTGTAAGGTAAGACGAGAAAGAACGAGAAGAAAGGGAAGAAGGGAGCACGTACCGGGAGAAGGGACTCGGAAGAAGCCTGGGGGTTGGTGGAGGAGGAGGACGACGATGAAGAGGTTGAGGGCGGCAAGAGGCTGCGGTAGAGATGGACGATGCCGCGGAGGAGGTGGATTCTAGGGTTAGGGTTAGGGTTCCAGCTGGTGCCCGCTTCTTCGTGGAGATCCCCGACGGCGTCATCGAGGAGCTCCGGTGACGGGTGAAGCGGGGCGACGGCGGCGGTGCTGCGGCTGCAGCCTTCTTCGGTGTGAGGGGCGTCGAGAGAGTGGATTCTGACGCTGAACATCGCGAATAGAAATGCGACTTTCGCGGCGATTTGGGACGTTAAATATTTTACCCGCTCGGTTTACTGACATCTTCAAGTCACTCGCGCTGCACGCGCTACATAATGTCATTATTTTTTTTTTTGTTTGTTAAAATTAATTATGTAACAAAATTAATTATTAATAGATTGAAATCAATTGATGTTGTTAACATGATTTCTTTTTTATATATATAATGTTCGAGGAACGCCGGGGTGCCAATTTGGCTTAGTGCCGATTTGGTCACAAGATCACTGTCGGCTCGGCTGAATGACTTATAAATCTGGATCGAAGATAAGTTTGACAAATGTCCATTTCATTTTTATTTCAAAAATGAATAAAATATTAGTTCTAAAAGAGAGAATGCACTTGAAGTAAGGTATAAATGTTTCATCTCAGATATATATATATATATATATATATA